TTGTGCAGTCCAGTGAGAGCTCGAAAGTGTTCATTGAATTTTTCACCCTTCGACCCTTCACCTTCGAAGGCTTCGAAGGCTTCGAAGCCCCCCTCGCCGAAGGGTCCTCGGATGCAGCCCCAAACACTTCGACACTTGTTGTGCCTTGGCGACTTTTAAAAAGGATTTGATTTAAGCTGCTGAAAATGCTGAAAATGGCAAAAGATCGTTTGCACAACGTGCCTTTTGCGTGGAAGGGTCCATTTTCGCGACATGACTGCGTAGGAGAGTGCTTCGCACCATAAAGGAAGTGTGAGAGCACAAACGCAAGCCCCTAACGCTCAACGCCACGGTCTCCACAGCCTGCGCCAAGCCTTGCCCAAGCTTTTTGCCTTTTGTCTCGCATCGTCTCTCAGATCCAACACGGTACATAAGAAGTGTGAGAGTGCTGGAGGAGTGCAAACCCAGAGAAGTGCCAACTAGACGACGCAAATAATTCGATCCGATTGTGAGAAATAGTAGGACCTTGCAACCAACCTGCCAAGCATGCCCTTGCCATTAGCTCATGGCGGAAGTCCAATGAAGAGCATGCATTGTCTTGCAAAACACACCTCAAAACATGATTCTTCAAAAGCCCTATGTTGCGTAAGTCGTTTATGTAACTTATGCTAAGTCAAACCTTGCACACTTAAGAACTCGAACAATCAAATACACAACATATTGTTTTCTTGACTTCATTTCTTAACTGTATCAACTCAAACACAATGATTACACAACATCATATATGTACAAATGGCACACTTGAACTCCCTTTTTTCTACATACGCCAAACCTTTTCAACCTGTTATCCATTTGCTGACCCACACGGCTTTGGACGCTTCAAAGGCTCTTCCAACTGTCGGGAGTCTCTGGGTGTGAATCATATCGTGGGATGTTACGGGGGGGCAGAAGCATTTGGCAGCTGATCAGGGGTTCATGAGCTCCACAAGTTGGGGTGCACAGTTCAGGCGCCACTGCAGTCACTTCGATGATGGCCAGGGCATCACCGTAGCGCAATGTGAGCACGAATGGAGACAGCAATGGTCCAGTTGATCTCACTTCTCTGGATTGATCAGCGTTTGCTTCTTCCGGGCTGCTGGTCTGATTTTGATATGGACGCTGTGGACGTTTACGACAAGCCTTTCCATGTAGTTCCTAGCAGTTGCATACACAGGATCCAAATTCAGGATGCAGCCACAAAGCTGCCGGACTATGCCTGCCGTTCGTCAATCAATCCAAATTCTACTACTACTACTACTACTACTACTGCTACTACTACTACTACGACGACGACGACTACTATTGCCACTGCGACTGCTACTACTACTGCTAGTACTACTACGACTACGATTACGACTACGACGACTACCACCACTGCTGTTCCTTCTGCCATTGTTCGCTGCTACCAAAATCGATCGCGTTGGTTGCTGGTTGAAATATTTTATGATCCAAATGAAACTGTTTCTTGATCCGTCACCGTTGTTTTGTGCTAGATCTGGAGCAAAAGTACCGTTTTGTGTTTTTCTACACCGACTATTAGCTCGTTTTGAGCCTGGCGGTTTAGTTTCAATCCAAAATTATTTTGTTTTCGAAGCTTTACAGAACAAAATCGTTGTGCTCGTGGAGAAATTAAACAGCGGTTCTGATGGAAAAACATTGGCACCATTGCCACCTTTGGGCCTTGGTTGGTCTTTGCATTCTTTGACTGGAGGTGGCTCATTGAGGCTGAAGAAGCACGAATAGTTCTGAATTTGCGATTGCGACAAAATGACGACCATTCGCAAGCACAGGTGGGGGGTCAGTCATCGCGTATGCCAAGTTGGTAGGTTTCACCGCTTCATTTCTCGGAAATCATGGCATGTAGTTTGCCACCTTCGTAAATCATGCGGCATGGTTGCCGACTTGGCCCCCACCATATCCTTTTCTGGCTCGTGTGTCCCTGAGTGTCGTGTACGATTTTGCCTTTGACAATACAGCTTTTTTTCCATCTTCCCAGGTCGAACAACAAGAGCTCGTTCCCGACGACGGGCCCTCGGCAAGTCTTGACAACTCCACTGGCAGCATTCGGTGGGATGCAGAAACGCAAGTCCATGCTTGTGTGCCCATGTGCGCCTCTTGAGTGCTTCCACTGTTTGGGTCGTGCCAAGGTCGTCCAACTCCAGAAAGGTAGAACAGGGGATTCGTGTACGACGCCAGGCGCAGCGACATGGCTTCGCATCACCCGAGTTTGTCTGAGCAGAGACGGATACCCCACAGATGTCGAAGTCGAAATCTACCATGATTGATCTAGGGGAGTATCTGATCGTCGAATTCTACTGGAAGCAGCCTTCTGGCACCAGGCAGAGCTGATGGGCATCACTCCTGGAACGTCTCTGCTCGCACAACAAACAGGGCACCCCAGGCGGCGGATCCACGCAGCATTACAGCCTCGATTCGGAATAAACTTGAAGGAGGCGTGCAGAAATCATTTTTTTGTTGTTGAGGTGGATTTCGGAAGGCGAGGCCAGTGATGGCGAAGGAGCGGAAGAAACCGAGGAAGTCGAGATTGAAGTGGAAGTGGAAGAGGCGGCTGAAAGATATTTTTGGTCAGTGAATGAAGCTGCTACTCGCGTCTTCGTTTTCAAAACACAGACACTTTCGCCAGGAGGTTGATCCCCCAGAAGAGAGACCATCCCTGTGCCGGGCCTGGCCGGGTACAATGTCTAGTGTAGAGTTAGATCGCGTTGGGATGTGTCTGTTTGTCCGCCTGAGGCCTGCAGATACTTCAACTTCAGGTTCCGGGGCTTCCTCATGCTACATTTGACAGTGGATGCACTTAGCTCGGTCGATTTGCGCTCGTGCCTTGAATCCTTGAAAGCAGGCCAGCCTTTCATAGTGAGACGCCGGGCAGAGATTGCTTTGCGCGACCTGGCCTGCAAAGCTGCGATCTTAGACGCTCTGCATGGGTCAGCCCGGTGACATTTGTGACCAGATGTTTGGTCGAGGCCATTTGTCGCATCAAAAAGGGCCTCAGAAAGCCCGGAGCACAATCAGATGGTCGCCCCTTCATTCCGGAGGACTGGACTGAACCCTTTACTGCAAAACAAGCCTTGCTTCGGATGTTGCAAGACTCGATTCAGCTGGATAGTAGGATTGGGATGAACTTTTCAAGGCGTGACAGCGGTGCTGTGTTCCTTGTGCAGATTGCAGCTGGTTTGTGTCGTGAATGGCAGCCGCACCTTGGCTCCTACATCCGCTTTCTTCTATCACGGTCAGATCAGTGCGGACCTCGTCCTGTCCACGCTTGGGCCACAAATTAGCTGTCCGAACGGCCAGAATCCTCGACGCTTGAGGTTCCGGGTCGTTCAAGGAATCGGCCCAGGAAGATACACAGTTGAGGATGTAACTGGAGACAAGGCAAGCTCCTTTGCTGGACTTGTCTTGCACGCGGTGCAAAGGGAACCTGTGTGCTTCCCCGCTTTGCCAGACTGTCGTTGCGCCGTCACCGGAAGAGCTGGCCAACAAGGGAACCAAAGGCGCCTGGATTTCTCTTCTATTCCTGAGTGCTCTACTGGTTGTTGAAAGCAGGCGGCTTTGACAGAAAAGGAAAGGGCAAGTTTGCAGATGCTGGCAAAGGCCGAAAAGGCACATGTGAGTGCGGTCTTCCGGGATTTGCGCGAAAGTGGGCGGGGCTTTTGGTTGCGGTTGAGGATTTTGTTCAGAGCCGGGTTTGGCAGTCAAGACGTTCGCCTTTTCATACCGCAGGTATTTACAAGGGCTACGGAAAGACGCAGTTGGAGGATGTCGGAAAGGGCAGCCAGAAATCCAAAGGAGGAAGCACTGCGCCGTAGCAAAATTGGTCAGTTTGTGAGGGTTTAAGGGTTCAGCTGTGCCCTGCTGTAAACCTCGGAGACTTCACATGGTGTGATGTGATGTGGAGCCCTTGCTGGGAGTTCTGCAAGAAGCGCTTAGCTTGACCCAGTCGTTCAGGTTGCTGCGAAAAGCACAGGCCCGGAGCACACTGAAAATGAAAGTTGCGGCTTCAACGATTGAATGCGACAGAGCACTGGATACAAGCAGTGTTCCCAAATGGGGTGCCATGGGGTGCCGAAGATTTCTCCGACAATGTTTTTGAATGCTCCAGGCAAGATGTCAGCCGGTCACATCAACTCAGGCCGAGCTTCCGCCGGTCCACTTACATGACAGCGACAGCTCCATGTCTGCTCATCGAGCATGTTGCAGGGAGCGTGTCGAGTGGCAAGGGTCGTGGCAAAGGTGCCTTGGAAGCATTTGCAAGCACCGAGTTTTTTTGAGAGCTTTCTGTGTGAACCTTTCTGAGGAAAGCGGCCACAAGCCAGTCCTCGAGGCCCGGAGTCCGGAGGGTGAGCGAAGGCGCAGTTCAAGGGTTCAAGGCATCTCTGCGACAGGTGACGCCGAAGCCACAGGCAAAGCAGACACAGCTGGCAAAGGAGCAGGAAAGGCGCGACATGACCCGAACGACTGCACTTCGACGTGCATCAGCCATTGCAAATCATTGCAATCTGCGCGCTGCAGCGCAGGCAGGATCGCCGCCTGTTCAGGCAGCTCAGTCTGCACGGACCTTTATGAAGGCAATGCCTGTCTCTCGAGACCAGTCTTCCTTTTGACTACGACGGGTGAACTTGTCTGCTAGAGGTAGCAGTTTTGCACTCTATGTTTCTGCCCTACCCATAAGTGACAGCATGTCGGATGACGCTAGACACTAGAAGGATGGAGGCCCTCAGTCTTTCGGTCTGTCCATGCTCTACACAGATGACTCTCTCTTCTTTGCTAGGCGGAGCTTGACACAGTCGAGGTGCAGCTATTATTGTTCTTTCAGGCCTCTGCCAGACAAACCCCGTCTGCAATCACGATATGCAGGTGTCCGTGGATGTGGAGTTGGAAACCAAGGCAACAGAAGCCCTCGAATTTGCCTTTCAGGTCTGTTTGGTCAGCTAATTTGAGAATCTGCCATGTCCACATTGACTTTGCGCTTTTGTCGGAGGACTCCCCGCCTGAAGCAGAGGACCTACTGCAGTTCAGGCAATGGTACGTTGTGGTGCGCAGTTTTGGAGGAGCCAGAAGCCTTTGTGCCAAAGAAGCGGGGCTTTTTGATTTCCGCACTACTGGGAGGGTCCAAGAGGCCGGGTTCTGAGTCCCGCGGGGAGGGTTCTTCAGGGGTGTCTCCAGTCCAGGCGCCTGGCTTCCGCTGCTTGGCTAAGATGCGCCAAGCGGACGACATTTGGAGTGCACACTGCCTTGGCTAAGGAGCCTGACGATGCAATGCGGTGGTGATGCTGAGTGCGACACTGAGCAACAGCACCACCAGAAACAAGCTGGTCACGACAGGCCAGTGCTTTCACCTCCGACACCAGCTTAAAAGGACCGCTGCAAGCTTGATTTTCCGGAGCAAAGATGTGTAGTTTCACAGCCAGAAGATTTGAACAATGCAGTATACCACTGCTTCGGGCCGTGTTCTAGTCAAGGCTCCCTCAAGACATCTGGAATTCAGGCCACGAGATTCTGCTTTTGATTTGAAGGGTCTGGGTGAAGCGTGGGAATCTGGAGCATGCGTCGGCGTGAGAGTGCATGACTGACCATAGTTCTACAGACCTGCGATGTCAACACGAAGCCAGGAACCCACTTGGTTGAAGCTGTAGGATCGGGTCTGCAGAAGTTTTTCCAGGGCCCAAAGGTGCCTTCGGCTTGGGAGACTCTGTGGATGAGCTGTTGCAGAAGCTTATATTGGCTTACATGAAGACTGCCTGGTCGGCGCAGCACAAGAAGGCTTGTCCAATGTCGTGCAGGCACAGGTGCACCACAAAAACGGGTGACGTTTTTAGTTGGTATCAGCCAGCCAGCACAGGGATTTGCAGACCGCCAAGCTCCTCGTAGCCATGACTGATGCCTCCCCGAGCACCTGGTGCCGGGCACCAAAAGCTGTCCCAGGCCCAGCAATCGATCTGAGGGCTGACAGACAGGATAGCGTTTTGGAGTGTTTCCAAGGCGAATGCTTCGCCGCAGGCAAAGATCCTGATGCAGGCAAGGACAGATGTACTTGCTGATCAGCCGTCCAGTCATGCTGTTTCATGCTTTCAAGGGTCAGGAGTGCGGTCGATGACTTAAGGCTTGTGCGAATCAGCACAGTGCTGGGCTGTTGCCACCAACACGCCCCCCGCTTTCTGCGGCGCTTCCGCCACCTCCGGAGGATCTTTCAAGCAGTCTGTACATTTCTGCTTGAATGGTATGCTGGAGTCTCCAACATCCTCAGGGAATGGTCCGCATCACCGTGGTCACGCCGCGCAAGGAGAAGACATTGTGGGAGTACGTCCTACGAGCCTTTCTTGCTTTTGCGGGTCGTGTGTCATTTCAGGGCCACTACGACCTGCAGCTGAGTGAAGATGCGGTCCCTGAAGACATCCGCAGAGGTCTCGTTGCGCCTTGAATGTGCTTAAGTTTGTCAACACAACCGCCATACGTCACGGTGCAACTGTTGCAATTCGCGCGCAGTAGCCACCGCCACAGCCGAGGAAGCGAAGACATTTGCCAAACCATATCGCGAGCCCATGCTTCCCAAGTCGCGGGACGACGTGGAAGTCAGGTTCGTGTACAGAGGCCAGCAAAGTCGCTGTGCTTGAAGTGATGTCATTGCTTAGAACCGAAGGCGTTCCACTCAGACCTACAGACACGCTGAAAAAGCGGAATCTAGCTGGAGAGCAGCTTCTGGCGGTACCGGCAAGGGAGCCTGGGAAAGTGCCTGCCTCACCCTAACTCGCGAATTCTGATCTCTGCGCAAGGGCATCAAGGAGCCCCGGAACAGCCTTCGGCTAGCTGCTCCTCGCGGACTTCTCATGACGTCCTCTAGGCTGGCGAAGCTGAGTGCGCGTGATCGGCACACGTCAGTCACGAGGTGTCAGCACAGGAGGACACGTTGATGTTGCCACAGACTTGAACATTCTGCAGAGTTTGCACCATCACGAAGTGCCCAGCACCAGCACAACACCCAAGATTCGTTTGCCAGGGCCTGGAAGCCATCGCAGGCCAGGCAGCCTCGAGAGGTGCCAGCTCCAATTTTTTCTGCTACCGTGCTCTCTGTTAACGCGAGACATGCGAGGCATTGTTCATTGAGCCAGAGCTTGGCACATATTCTGCCGACCTTGTGCTTCTTGTCTGCACAGATGCACAGTGCCTGCGAGAAAGGACCGAAATGCTGTGCCTCGTTATGGTGCCGAGGCATCCTGTTCTGAAGCCACACCCGCAGCTGCCCATGCCTACCTGAGACGTTTTGCTTGTGCTATCTTGTGCTCACGGCTTGTCAACAGGACGCCGTGGGCACACCAACGCACTGCGGCGCGGAAGCGAAAAACCCCGACTGTTTCGACAAACGGTTTATGCATGGTCAAGACCACCGTTCTGGTGTGATGTGACGTCGTCCCCAGTAGCAAGTCGTCCTGTTCTGTAAAGAGTTGTAAACAGATTGCTTGTCCGACACTGTGAGAACTTGCACTGTTAGCGACAGCGCAGTGCTGCATCCTTCGGTTCGAGCTTGAGACTAGGTCTTATCCGTGGACTCAGAACGCAGCAGAGCGAGACATCCTAGATCTAGACCCTAAAAGCAACTGTGTCAAGGCCCAGTCGGGACCTGCACACTCGCATGTGTGCATCTTGAGATGGCGTTGGCCAGCACAAAATTTAACGTATTTGCAGACAGACCAGTTGTCACGGAGTGTAGATTGGGGATGTTCTGCTGCAAAGGGATCTCGGGTCTGCCATCTGCCCCCAGCGCGGCGCTACCAGGGCCGAGAACTTTGCCGGTCGCTACGCATGCGAGGTATGCTCTCGGCCATTCGCTCGGCCTCTTGGCAAGCTATTGTTTCTCTGACAGAATGTGAGTTATGCTCTATAGACATCAGGCTACTTGAACCTGCAGCCGAGGACTTTCCATGGGGCTGCCGGCAGCGGTGGTTCAAGCTACTCACTCTAGGTTGCCTCGCATCGATTGTACTGCGATTTTCGATTGAGTTGCAGTCACAACCCGAAGCACTGACGATGCAAATGGAACTACACGTTCAATACCGTGCTGCGGAGCACTTTCGGCTCCAATGCAACCAAGCAAGTGTCAAGAGTCTTGGGAGACAAATGTCAATTATTCAGCAGGCTTCCGGTCAGCTCAATAAAGCCTCCGCAACTATAGGAGACCACAACAAGTTCACAGAACACTGCAAGGGAGTCTGTGCTTGGCTCCCACTGGAGACGCAACCGTGGATTGCAAGCAGGCACCGCTGGGCCGCAATCTTTGCAATCTTTGCCGGGCAGGGTAAAGGGAGAAGGAGCGAGAGAGGGAGAGAGACTGTTCCGTACAGCTTAGCCTCCTGAGGAAAGATTCCCATCTATGGACAGCGGGAGCGCCCTCGTGCGTGAAGGAGGCAGCTGTAGCCCTGCTTTCTTCCTACCCTGTCCAAAGAGAGAAGAAAGAAAGGAAGAAAGAAAGCGAGAAAGAAAGAAGAAAGAGATGGAGCAACATGCGTGGGAGAGAGGGATTAGCTATCTTGGCTCATGGCCACGTTCGTGAACTTCGCCGACCAGAGGGCCGAGAGGTGAGAGCGAAAGTCGGGAGAGCTTGAAGGCGCCATGCCACCGTCCTGCACAGTCGTTTAGCTCCTGCGCAAGCTTCGGCAAGCTGTGCATTAAGCACGATCGAGCTCATCACCCCTGACCGTGAGACGGATGCCTGTACTCCACGAGGGCAACCACTGTTCTTTCGAAGTGTGTGGAAGTGTGCGGAGAAACTGGCCAGCTGCAGGAAGGAGCTTGAGAACCTAGACCCATTCGGGAAACAAGGCCAGAATTCAGATAAAGGATTCAGGAGCCGGCGCCGCAATTCAGACATGGAGGTTCGGGAAACAGTGCGGGCAATGAGGGAATCAGCGGAGCGAATTCGGGAATCGGATCTGTTGTCAGACGCAGGCGCGGGTTCCGGTGGCGGTGTTCATGGTCCGGTTTCAGGAATTTGGGTTTAGAGTTTAGGGCTTGCCATCACCATGCAGCCTTTCAGGGTTTGGGGCTGGCTCACCAACATCTGGGGTTTGCTCACCAACATCTCCGTTTAAAAAGTTTAGCATTCAGGGTTTTGGACTTGCTATCAAGATTTGGGATTTGTTCACCAACATCTCCGTTTTCGGGTTTGGGGCTCTTGCTCACCAACATCTCCTTTTAGGCCTGGAGGCTTGCTCACCAGCATCAAGAGTTGGGTTCCTTGCTCCCCAACATCGTCATCGTGGGTTTGGTCTTGCTCACCAACATCTCCTTTTGGGTTTGGAGCTTGCTCACCAACATTATCATCCTGATCATGATCATGATGATCATCATCATCACCAGCATCATCAGCATCATCATCATCAGGGTTTTTGGCTTGTTCACCAGCATCTCCTTTTGGGCTTTGCGGCTTGCTCACCAACATCAGGGTTCTTGATTCTTGCTGACCAGCATCTCGTCTTAGATTTGGGGCTTGGTCACCAACATCATCATCAGGGTTTTGGGCTTGCTCACCAAGATGTCCTTTTTGGGGTTTGGGGAGTGCTCGCCAACATCAGGCTTTTAGGTTTGTTCACCAGTATCGTTTCAGAGGTTTCAGGGGTTTGGGGGTTGCTTACCAGCATCAAGATTTGGGGTTTGCTAGTTGAAGGAACACGACCCCAGAGACCCAACGGCAGTAACGGCACAGGCCCCACCAAAGTGCTAGTGCAGAAGCCCAGTAGTTTCACGTAGCGGCGACTTTGCGCACGCATTTGGCTCAAGTGGAGGAACGACGGCACGTAATTAGAGCCCTGGTTTTTAGGAAGGTTGGCCGGGTTTAAATACCTTCGTTCCCTTTTGATGGTTATCAGCCGTAGCTCTTGTTTACTTAAACCCTGCCGAAGGGCTTTAGTGGGTATAGCCCCAGCCATCACAGAGGGCTTCCGTGAGCGCGCTGGCCGCAACAGGTGGGGTGCACAGCCTTAGGCGCACCAACCGGTGGATGCCACCGAAGGGTCAGCCAGGAAGGCCTTATCGGGGCATGTGTGCTGGTCCGACGTCGTGAACGAAACACTTTTAGGAATCTGTGGCATTACGGTCAGATGGCACGAGTTTGAGCGCGGCGCCGATGAACGATACGATATGGTGTTTCGCTTTGCCTCGCGGTGCTGGAGGTGCTGCTGCCTCTGCTGCGCCGCTCAAGCCCAAGGCCAGGTGGCAGCCAAAGGCAGCCGCAAAGGCAAAGGCCACAGGTCAGGGTGCAGCCCAAGACGTACCGGAATATCCTGAAGCGCAGCTTCCGCAGAGGGTGCTGCTCAAGCGCACCGGGGTCGGGTCTTGCTCTATCAAGCTAGCAGCTAGACGAGGCAGGCGAGCTCACGGTTGCAGCGGAAGAGGTAAGCTAAGCACCTGAACGTTCGCTACCAAACCGGTGGCTGACAATACCATGTTGGAGAGTGACATCAGGGAGGAGACGAAGTGCTGTAGAGCAGTGCGCCTTCAAAGTGGTTTGCTTTATGATATGCATTCACGCTCGTATCGTGTTGCATGTTTGTCGTTGTTTTTTGGCCGATTGGCTCCACATGGGGGGGTACGCAATGGGAGGCCCTCACGAAAGAACCCTTTCAAGGTGAAAGGGCTTGCATTCGTCAGCTTGTGTGGTACCGCAGTAAAGGTTCAAAGAGCATTCTTGAAACCAACATCCCCCAAGCCTTGTTCCTAGGTTGGCGCATCGACGCAGGAATGCGTTATCACAACGTTGTTAGGATCTTGGACTACGACGAATTTCGCACCACACGGAACACAGCAATTCATGATGTGCCAGAGCCTGAGTTCTACATAGAAGATGGTCCACCAATCTTCCCCTTTGCAAATGCCACAAGAAAAGTTTTGGTAGACGGCTCAACTTTGGATGCCGCCTCTGGCGTTTACCCGACATTCCTATGATGCGTGAAGTTACTTCTGCTTCCGAAAGTATCGGGCCCCTTCCTCTTTGGAGACTTGGTGCCAGGGGAGTGTGCAGTATTGCCGATAGGATAGTTAAGTTCGGGGAGACGCCGCGTTACTTGACCCGACGCCAGGGGTAGCTCCAGGAACGCAGGACAGGCAAGCTGAGTTGAGCTCACGAGAGTCTTTGAGTACCGCGTGCGGCTCCTGCAAAAGATGCAAAGGTCGAGGCGATTGTTCAGACAGTTTGCAGAACATGCCAAGACCGCCCCTGACTTGGGAGAAGATGTCACCTTTGAATGGCCGAGGTACTGACTCTGATTCCGGACAAGCCTGACGTGCAGGAGTATTTTCGGGATCCTTGGTTTTAGGTTGTTGACTTTGATGGTTGTATGAAGCTCGAGGGAAGAATTTCGAGCTCACTGGGTTGTACAGGCAAGAGATGTGTGAAAGCATTGCATGTGCTATCAAGCGCAGTAGGGCGTATATCTCAGTGCTTGCCATGCCCATGATTCCCGTTACGCCAGAGCACACAGAGAAAGAACAATAGCTGAAGCACGTTTCCGCTCTAAGCGGCTACGAGGACCTTGCTGCAGTCCTAAAGTCTGATTAGGAAGCTGTAATGCCGGTAGAAGAGGTTGTAGACCTGAACGCTGTATTGTGTCAGGTTCACGGTGTACCTAAGCGCGCCCCGCCAAACGAGGTTTCTGCCATGACTACCAAACTCCTCTCACGAGCTGAGGTGCTTTCTTTTCCTGAAGCCTTTGAAGCTGTGAGGCAAAAAGCCGCAGGTCTCCGTTCTGTTCCTGTATGGGACGAGACCAACCCGAAAGAGTACGCCGACGTTCAATCACAAACGCGTCGCACAGGAACTCAGGTACACTTTGGGAAGCTAATGAGGATTGCCTCCATTAAGTTTCGGGAGCTTGCCAGGCATCTCCAGAAGGCCAAGAGCCAGTGTATCGAGGTGACCGTGCTAAAGACGAAGAGGGCGCCGCAGCGTGTTACGGAGAGCTAGGAGCCAATCCCACTTGTGTTCAGCACTTAATGCCTGTTTAACTTGCGGTAGCTTACCTGGTAACCAGTCCAGCGCCGCAGCCCTCTGCCTTGCCTGGTGGGAGAGAGTGCTTCGCACGTCCTGTGGTGCTGCTCTTACTCGCACTGTACGGACACCCAGAACCGCGCGGGCTTTGGGCAAAAACACTTTAGTTGCCGGAATACCCCTGTAAATTTTTGGTTTTTTTCCCCTGTGGACAAGGAGGAACACCAGCTCTTTTGGGAAGCCTGGTGTAAAGTTTTCGACGTAGAACCCCCTGA